GGATATTTTTCATTTTTAATAAATCTGGAATGCAGGATCTTGCAGGACCATATGGGGATTATGCCAAGTCTACTGATTTTTATTAGTTTTGAACACTGAGACTTTTTATACATCCTTATATACAGTACATATATTTTTCTACATTTGTATGTTTATATATATATATATACACACAGTTGTGTTCAAAATAATAGCAGTTTTGAAAAAAGTGAATAAAGCTCAAAATCCTTCTAATAGCTTTTATTTCCATACACACAAATGCATTGGGAACACTACACATTCTATTCCAAATCAAAACATGAAGAAATATATATCAAATTTGTGTTGTTCCTCTAAAAAAAATTGAACAAAAGTGAATATTAGACTGTTCAAAAAAATAGCAGTGTTTGTATTCTTCTTTATAAACTCAAACATTCACTATATAACTGAAAAATGTTTGAAGATTTTGCTTCTTTCCTTTGAATCACTTAATATTAATTGTATAAGCACTGTTTCTGAGAACTGCTGTACATCTGTGTTGCATGGAGTCAACCAACTTCTGGCACCTGTAAACAGGTATTCCAGCCCAGGATGATTGGACTACATTCCACAGTTCTTCTCTATTTCTTGGTTTTGCCTCAGAAACTGCATTTTTGATGTCACCCCACGTGTTTTCTATTGGATTAAGAACCGGGGATTGGGCTGGCCACTCCATAACATCAATCTTGTTGATCTGGAACCAAGATGTTGCACATTTACTGGTGTGTTTGGGGTCGTTGTCTTGTTGGAACACCCATTTCAAGGGCATTGCCTCTTCAGCATAAGGCAGCATGACCTCTTCAAGTATTCTGATGTACTCAAACTGATCCATGATCCCTGGTATGCGATAAATATGCCCAACACCGTAGTTTAAGAACCATCTCCATATCATGATGCTTGCGCAACCATGCTTCACTGTCTTCACAGTGTACTGTGGCTTGAATTCAGTGTTTGGGGGTCATCTGACAAACTGTCTCCGGCCACTAGAACCAAAAAGAACAATCTTACTTTCATCAGTCCACAAAATGTTGCGCCATTTCTCTTTAGGCCAGTCAATGTGCTCTTTGGCAAATTGTAACCTCTTCAGCACATGCCTTTTTTTCAACAGTGGGACTTTGCGGGAGCTTCTTGCAGATAGCTTGGCTTCACATAGGCGTCTTCTAATTGTAACAGTACTCACAGGTAACTTTAGACCTTCTTTGATCTTCCTGGAGCTGATTGTTGGCTGAGTCCTTGCCATTTAGGCTATTCTTCTATCCATTCGAATGGTGGTTTTTTGCTTTCTTCCACGTCTTTCAGGTTTTGGTTGCCATTTTAAAGCATTTGCGTTCATTTTAGCTGAGCAGCCTATCATTTTCTGCACTTCTTTATATGTTTTCCCCTCTCCAATCAACTTTTTAATCAAGGTACGCTGTTCTTCTGAACAATGTCTGGAACGACCCATTTTCCTCATAATTTCAGGGAGAAATGTACTGTAACCAGCATGTACAACATTTGCTGCCTTCCTTCCTTAAATAAGGGCAATAATTGCCACCTGTTTTTCAAAGAATGAATGACCTCACTAATAGAACTCCACACTGCTATTATTTTGAACATGCCCCTTTCAATGATTCAATTACACAGAATCAGCAGCATGCATGCCATGACTGTTGGGTCTGTTGGATTCCTATTACTCTACTACACCTGCTAGTAAATTATTTGCCATGTAGAAATATAATTTCTACCAAAAACAGTGATTGATCAGGTTAGTGATGTCTGACTGCTATTATTTTGAACACAACTATATATATATATATATATATATATATATATATATATATATATATATATATATATAAATATAAGTTTTCAAAGAGTTTTTTTTAGATAAGATATTCTAGTATCTGTATATTCTTTTGGGCTCATTTTGTATTTATTAATAAAAATAGTTTTTCACATTACTTCCTATTTCCCCTTTTCACATGTATTTTTCCCGCTTTCTTTTCTATTTCCCCTCTTTCTTCTCTGTTTTTCATACCTTTGTTCAAGATTAATATAATGCACAGATACTGTAATATTTGGGGCTACTTAGGTTGTTTTTCTTGTTCAGTGAAGCTATTTGGACTGTGTGAGTTTAATGAACAGACGGAGCAGAGTAGAAGAATGAGAGTGGTATTCTCTTGCAAGCCTTCCTTGAGAAAGATTGGCAGTATCCAATTATAATGCTTTGGAATAGGTAGGCGGTAACCTCACCAATAAACAAAGGATTTTCTAGCACACTTGCCAGCCTGTAAAACAGCCAATTTGGCCCTGTCTAACAGTTTGCATTAAAACAAATGGTTTTGTTTACACACGTTTGCAAATACATGTGTAAGCCACAGTCCCATGTCAAGGATCCTCTCTATACTGCAGACCTATTACTACAATTTCCAGAGCCTCCACAATGGGAGCACATGTATCAATTGATATGTTAAGGGCATGTTAAGGGCCGGTGTGCCTGGAGGAGCACATCCCTTCCTAAAGGCACAGGGATGCACATGATGCCCAGCTATAGCACAATGACAGCAAAGGCATCTAGTGCATCCCTGCATCCAATTCAGCTAACTGTGCTGCTAAGGCTGGTCATAGATTGGAACAGTTGCCATTTTTTTTTGTAAGGTTGGTTGAATTGGATGCTCTGCCCACACAGCCACTTCATTCACAGTTTCCTGTGAATGAATGCTTGCAAGTACCGTCAGCCATTGTGGCTAACGGCTTGCATATGTAGCACACCCCCTAAGGAGACACTGGTGAATTTGGTCCTATTTCACCATTAGAGCACACAGTCAGGCACACCACATTATTTGCACTCTTCCACTGGCTTCAAAGAACAGTTTAGGGATTTCTTTTTGAGTTTTTATTGAGAACGATGATTTTGGATAGGGATAGGAATGATTATTTATGAACGAGGACTGTTCAACTTCTGTCTCTGCTGCACAAAAAAATGAATGTCCCACAGGATCTCTATGCTGTTGGTGACTTTTACTCCTTCCAGAGTTAAAGGATAAGCTCACCTTTTGGATAAAAAATAATAAATACATGTATTTTTGCTGAAAAAAGGTGCATTTATTATTTTTTCCCTATGGAGCCTGGAAAGCATTGCAACCGTCATCAGTGGATCAGGGGTGCAATGCCCGACTCCTGCTGATAAGCCCATACCTGCATACAAGCTGACTGTTTACAAGCTGAAGGGCTTGTGAATGAACTAAGAGGCCACTCATCAGTGACCCCACAGTCGATTCAAAACTACAAGCCGTCAAGTTCAAGTCATTCACAGGAAAATGAAAGAATGACGCGGTCATGTGGGCAGAACCCCACAATGCTGTGTATTTTCAAATAGTGACCGCAGGCATCGGGAGAAGATCCCCCTTTGCTGTCCTTGAGGGGGTGCTGCAGCTGCTGGAACATGTTATATGTTCCACCCTAAATAAGGGTGGAATGTGTAACATGTTCCAAAAGGTGAACTTGTCCTTTAAAAGCTACACACAGTCACTACTCTTCAGCACTGGGGTCATGTACTCACATAGCAACAGAATCATCGGTTGCTTTCTGCCAATATCCTCAAGGCCCTTCCTAGTGAGGGAGATGCAGACTCATACAACGACAGGACAGCTGGACTCTTACTCTTACCCATCAACCTCCTCCTGTTTCTCTCCAGTGAACTTCTCCAGAACTGACTTCACCCCTGGATGTGGATTTGCAAATAGGCCCCCAGCTGAGCCTAGTTGGGACCTCTGTGTCTTCCTGAAGATGACTTCTAGGTTCCTGCACCAGGAGCCTCCTCCTGCAGGACTGGACTTCTGCTCTCTGCTGTCCAGGCCTCAGACTATTTATGGGCTCTCTCACCACCTACTAGGTACACCTCCCCAGAGATTGGCTAAATATTCAGGGACTGCATGCCCCTCCTTTCACACACTGTGAGGGTGAACAACACAGGTCTCTCTCCTGCCAGCAAGGACATGCTGCTTTGTATTTCTCTGCCCAGCAGAAAAATACAAGGTAGCATGTCTCCCTAGTAAAACAGCACACAGTTAATTCTTTGATCGCCCAAAAGTTAAAGAATTTCATTTTGTCATATTCTTTATTTAGTCTTCATTCAGTTTTGGAATTCGATTTGTGTCCTCAGCATTTGCTTCATACGTTTTGCAGTTTTTTCCCCATGATTGCTATATATTCAATATATTATCATATCGGACGTATTCTATATTTTTGGACTCTAATCCAACCCACTAAGAAAAATGGCATGAGCTGATTGGACATTCAACTTGTGTCGTGTGCATCCAAATGGAATGAAATTCGGATCCATTTGTTATATGAATTATTGAACAAATTCAGAAATTTAATTAATTTCCCTATGGGCCTGAACTACCATAACATGCTGTGACGTCATCCGAATCAAACAAATGCAATCATTAAGTTTGTTATAGCTTTTTTTTTTTGGATTTGTTACTGTGTCCATTCAGAGACTTGTATACTGTATATTTGAATCTCTGAAAATGAAATTTTTCGTTCAAAAAGCAAATTTGAATCAAAACGCTAATTTTTAGCTGACTGACTACCATTTACTGACTTTCAATATATTCATTTTAGTACTTTTATACCCAGTAGAACAATTTAAAAGTCCAGTTGGGACTGATATTCATATTAGACATGGTTTAGTATCACATTTTGTTTTTAGTTTTTGTAGTAGTAATCATGCAACGTGCACAAGGCCTTACAAAGGTGTGTCCTCATACATTTACCTAGGTCAATCCACATTCATCAAAAAGAAAAAAAATAGCAGATAGGACTGTGACAAAAATGGACACCTTGAAGCCAATGCTTGGGCACACAGACTGAGATGTACTTATGACGTTCATGGCAATATGTTCTACTGCTTAACTTCTGTAAGACCACAGAGCTTAAAAACTATCATATCATTCTTACTTTACATTCTGATCTTTTGTGCTCTTTTTTATATATAGATCAGAAAAAGAAGGCCCACGCCAGCCTCACTGGTTATAATGAATGAACAGCCACCACCAGGTAAGTAAAGGATAGGTATAATAAAGAAAATTGCAACTGAAGTAGGATAAAGTAGGAAAAGAAGAAAAAAATGCTAGCCTACACCAAACTGTAATTTGGAACATGAATAAACAGTATGAGAATTACCCAGAATTCTAGATACAAAATAACATTTTGCCAGAAAACGAAGGTACAAATGTTGAACAAGCAGGGCTGTCTTTAAGGAGGGGCAGAAGGGGCAGCTGCCCTGGGCCCAGTCATTGCTGAGGGGCCCAAAGCAGCTGCCCCATACTTGCCAACTGTCCCGATTTGCATTCCCTTGTCCTTGAATGTCCTGGTATCTCAGTGTGAAGTGCTGTCATTTATGTTGCCTAGCCCTGCCCTTTGCCATGTACAGATGACTCACATGTGCAGACCATGTCAGTAATCACATGTAAATAACTGGTATTCATATGTAAATACTGGTGGCAATGTGGCATTCACATGTAAATAGTGGCGGCATTCATATGAATATTGCTCCCCCCTGGGGTTCCAGCCACCATCACCTCTATTGAATGCTGCCCACTGGAAAGATAAAGGAGCATGCTTGAAAGTCCTGCCTGCAACTGTAGTCACTGAACCTATCATCAGCCTACAAATGTAAGCAAAGTTGAGAGGGGGTGCGCAGGTAGACAAAAAAGGAATACCAGTTTGGGGTGCACAGGTGAGCAAGGAGGGGATGTACAGTGGTAAGTAAGGTGGGTGCAAACAAGAGCAGAGGAGGCATGTAGAGTTAAGGTGGGAGTAGGTTGGTCTGGAGAGGATGGGGGAAGGTTTGGGGTGCAGAGGTTAGCAGGGAATTTTAGGATGCAAAGGTGTACTGACTGGGCGGATAAAGATGTATATCACATGTAGGGCAGCCCATTCATCTCTCAATAGGCTTCTGTGCTAGAAATGCTGAAAAAAGTCCCTGATCCTTTTTCAAAATCTCACTGAGCCACACAGTGCTACAGCACGAGTTGCAGTGCATGTGAAAAGACGCATGTCAGCGTGATGTTGTTATTAACAATTAATGGCACTGCTGCGTATCTGCTAAAGGACAGCACGTTTCTGTGCTGTCAGGAAAGCGATTTTCCACATGTTCCCGATATGCACAAATGTGAACATAGGCTAAATGTCTCAATTACATAGGTGGTCAATGTATTCTCATTACATTTACATTGGATCATGGTGTTGTCATTGTGATTGTTCACCTTACATTGGTGTTCAGTGTAAATCCCTCCCTATATTGATGGTCACTGTGAATGCTCCTATTGCATTAGTGGTCAGTGTAAATCCTCTTTACATTGGTGGCCAGTGTAGAAACTCCTCTTTATATTGGTGGTCGGTAAAAATAATAACTTGCTTTTGTGGTCAGTGTAAATTCTTTTATTACATAGGTGGTAAGTGCAAATTCCACATTTTGATGGACAGTTTATATTTCGCCTTAACATTGGTGGTAAGTGCAGAATTGCCCTTATATTGGTGGTCAGTGTAAATCCCCCCTTACATTGGTCATCAGTGTCAATCCTCATTAATATTGCCCCCTAACATTAATGATCAGTGTAGAAATGTCACCTCCCATCCAGCACTGCCACTGATCCTATCCACCCCAAGCGCTGCCACTGATCCTATCCACCCCAAGCACTCCCAATCAGTCCCAATCAGTGAGCAGTAATTATGTGCAGTAACCTCTAGCAGCCAATCAGTAAGTGGTAATGATGTGCAGTAACCTCTAGCAGCCAATCAGTGAGGAGTAAGGATGTGCAGTAACACCTAGCAACCAATCAGTGAGCGGTAAGGATGTATGTGCAGTAACCTCTAGCAACCAGTGAGCAGTAATCATGTGCAGTAACCGCTAGCAACTATTCAGCAAGCAAAAATCATGTGCTGTAACCTCTAGCAACTGATCAGTGAGCCGTAATGTGTGCTATAGCCTTTAGCAACCAGCCAGTGAGCGGTAATGATATGCTGTAACCTCCAATCACAATCTCTTCCTGATCTGCTATAGTAAACTGATTTTGAGTCTATCTGCTATTTATTGTATGTTTCAGAGGCAGGTGGAGAGCGAAATTGCATGGGGGTGGGGGGGGGGGCAAGTAAATGTTTGCCCAGGATCCAATCAATATTAAAGATTGCCCTGTGAACGAGTGTGCTCATGAAATACTGTAGTGCTTATTTATGTGCCTATTTTGTTACAGTAGGTGGCCACAAATTATTATCAATGTGTTACTGTAATTATGACAGATAATTACTGCAATTGCTTATTTTTCTGCTTTTAATGCTGCTTTTTTAATATGTTTTTATATTACCTGATATATACATATTCTGAAGTTTGTGCATAAAAAAGCTCCAAGTCTTTATTTCATCTGGGTTATTGGATGCCCTATCAACAGAAAGAGTGATAGGAATACTGATCTAAAGGGCTTCTATACTTGTGGGAAATGTTTAGCATGTAGAACCTCTAGGGTTAAAGAGGAGTTCCACCTGAAAAAAAAAAAAGGCGGCAGCTATAAAAACTACCACTAACCGGTCCCTCAGTCCAGCGGTGTCCTCACCACCGTTGGTTTCACCGACCGTCTTCTCTCCCTGGTGCCGGGATCTTCAGTGTGGGCACCCGGCTGTGACAGCTTGCAGCTTCACAGCCGGGTGCCCACTGTGCATGCGCGAGAATTGCTGCGCTTTGTGAATGGCCCCATATTCTTCTGGGACCTGTCACGTGTGGAAGTGGGAGCAGGTACCTGTCAAATTCGGGTACCCCCTCCCCCACGCTCCCCAAAGGCTTAAAGCGGAACTTCCCCTTTTGGGTGGAGCTCCCCTTTAATGATAAAAGAAGAAAGGAGTTTGTCACTACTGCCACAGGGAAACCATACAATATTAAAGATTTTATTACATGCACCACAGAAGGTGCCATATACATGCTGGAGTGCCCTTACTGCGTCCATTATATGGGATGCACCTCTAGACCTTTGTATATCAGAATACAGGAGCATATGAAATACTATTCGGAAAGGAAAGAACACAGTGTTTCTAAACATTTTAGGGATTTTCATAGTAAGGATCCCAAGAGATTGATGTTTTGGGGAGTAGAGAAGGTTGATAGGCATTGGAGGGGTGGCAATTTTATAAGGCATTTAGGCCAAAGGGAATCCTTTTGGATTCTTGAAACCAAGGTGCTGACTCCTAAGAGTTGTAATGGGGATTTTGATTTAAATTGTTTTAGTTCAAATAGTTGAGTAAAGTAATTTAATGTTTTTATTTTAATTTCATATTATCTATTTTATTTTTATGTATTTGTATCAATGCAATATTATTTATAAGGTGGATGTAAAATTTTATATGATCTGGAGATTGTGTGTATTATCAGTGGTTGTATATGTGGGTGCGGTACCCGGAAGTGGTGTGTTTTTCATGTGTCTGGGGACACTAAGGTAGTGAGGAGTGATATTGAAAGGCTGATTTGGAAAGCAGTATCCTCCGGGTTGGTTGGGGGGTGGGGGGGGGGGGCAGGGACGCACTTCCGGTCTGACGTCAGTTGCTGCCCTTTCCGGATATCACACTGTGTGTCTCCATATGGATTAATTGCAGACTATTTAAGGCTCGGCATTATCGACTTCCCCCCGTCTACTGAAGAAGCCCATATGTGGGAGCAACCCATCTAGGGAGTTGGAGCCAATCTCTGTCACGATAGTTTGCTGCCATCTTGCTAGCGGAGCGGTGAGCAATTGGATCTTTGGAGTTATATGCTGATTTTACATGACGTTTATGTAAGTGTGATTTTACTGTGGGAATAAAATAAAGTATTAAACGGTGAGCACTATGTTCTGGCCTTTTTATTCCATGGCACACACATCTATCAAACTAAGCACAGGTTGAAGACAAGAGAAATATCACCTGGATAAGAAGTGGATTTTGGGACCAGAAAGGCTGCTCTATTTTGAATAAAATGAGCTTAAAATGATATATTGGAGGTGAGCAGGTTTTTCACCTGGTGTGGTGGAGGTGCACAGATTGTGTAAGGAAGAATTGAACTTACCTAAGTCACATGTGGCTGTGCATGTGTCACGGAGATTCCATTGGAACGTTCACATGTTGGACTTTGGTTAAATATATTTTTTGCACTAATTGAGTTTATATGTTGTTTTTGGGTAGATGTGCTTTTGTTGCGCTGCACTTTTATTTTTATTAGTTGATATGCTATAAATATACAGTAGATATGTGTGTGTGTGTGTATATACTGTATGTATACTGTATGTCATATATATATGATGGGAGCTTAACAAGGGACCTATATGTTTTTTGATTATGTATCTGTGTTCAGATGTCACACTGATCCACTGAATTCTATATTCTGAAATCCAGGCTGGATAAAATATGCAGAACAACAGTTTTTGGTTCACTTACCACTGTTTGCTTTTTCAATTACTGAGAAAAAAATGTAGGCCCTGTTCACATGATCTAATTCTGACAGCACAATTTTCACTTGATTCTGCGTGTCGCATAGAACGGGTCATACACTTGCATGGGTTGCCCTATGCATGTTTGTCGCACCAGAACACGTTGTGCTGTGATTTCCAAGTGATGTGCAATCGCAGTCAGAACTGCATCAATTTTGATTACGATTCCAAATTGCGAAGTTTAAATGAAGCCTTAAACTGTAGGATCAGGATAACATTTAGGCAACTAGAATTTTCTTTTGGCAGTCAGCAGTTACAGACTTATATTTCTTTCATGTCAGGTTTTCTTTAAAAAATGCAAAGACAGCGAACACTTAAATGACTTGAAAACAGAATGAATGATGTATAGTTACAGCAGAAAAATTAAACAGGAATTCCTTTCATTAACACTTTCTAAATCTCTATTTACTTCTTATTGTACATATACTGTAATTAGAAAAAGAGACTAAAATAATTTTCTAAGCTGGAGATACCCCAAATGCTTTACATACATACTGTAGACCCATCTGACTTTTTTCAGTCCACATTAAACACCTGACACATAAATTAAAATGGTATAACAATAGAAAGACAGCTCAGACAGGTCATACCAACCAAAGTCAGGACACGTAGGCATTGCATGACTAAACAAAGGAACTATCAAGACTCTAGCCAGAAGTAGAAAT